GGTAGTAGGTAGTAGGTAGTAGGTAGTAGGTAGTAGGTAGTAGGTAGTAGTAGGTAGTAGATGGCCAGGGACACAGGATCAGATTAATAGGGGGTAGTAGTGCAGATTATTGATGGGGGACCGGCCCTTGTGAGGGGTACCCTTTGTGAGCTTGTCAAATGATTGTTTTTAATTGTTTTTTAATAAGGCAATTTATAGGCCCTGAGCCCTAGACATTTTAAAGGATTTCATCAAACAGCAGCAGCAGTAGCAGAGCAGCAGCAGCAGCAGCAGCAGCAGCAATAGCTACAGCAGTAGCTAGTAGCAGTAGCAGTAGCAGTAGCAGCAGCAGCAGCAGTAGTAGTAGCAGTAGTAGTAGCAGCAGCAGTAGTAGTAGCAGCAGTAGCAAGTATAATGTCAAGTCAGGATAAATAAACCTCCACTAGTTAACCCCTTATTAAAAGTAATATTATTTTTTTTGGATTGTGTAGGCTCGGATTAACTGGGGGGGTTGTTGGTAGAAAATTAGACAATAGGGGGGGAAATCAACAGCGAATAATACTTTTAATTTGGGCAATTTCCGGCGGCTTTGTGGGCTCGGATTAACTAGGGGAGGTTTATTAATCCTAACTTTGCATTACTCATAACTGCTGTAAACTGACAGAACATGTATGAATGTGGAATCAGGAATGTCATTGTACGTTGATGTCAAATAACTTCTGGATGGATCTATTCGGATCTATTTGCCGGATCTCTTTGCTCAGTTTCGTTCATGTCCAATCTTTGTTCATGTTCTGCAGGATCGCTCCGACCACCCGGGGTCTGCCGTCAGGGTCTGCCGTGCAACGGCAAGAAGCCTTCCTACGGCGCATGGCCCTACTCGATGAAAAGTCGAAGGACGGTGCCGGGGCGGCGACCAGGAGGGAAGGAGGGCTGGAGGGCGCCGCGAGGAGATTGGGCTGGATGGCAGTGGAAGATCCTCATGTCGTTGAAGACCTTGAAGGGGAAAGATGAGGTGCAAAAACCATGGAAAACCCACTTGAATAGGCCTCAGAGACCTCGCGAGAGTCGGGATTATAGAATGGTATCCTTCGGTTTACGTACTTAAGCACAAGTTGTTTGGGTAAAGTTGAGTCATGTTTTCCCCATGACAGCAGAATCGGCCATTGATGAATTGAGAATCGATTGTG